CTTTATGGTTTGATGAAATTTCGTTGTATTGACATTTGATCCCTTTCTCTTCCTCCTTTATGTGATTATTTTATATGATCTATAAGTTTAATATTTCTGTCTGTTTTTGCAGTGGTGAATATCAACCTTTTGCTTCCATGTTTAAGACACCTTTGAGCATTTCTTATAGGGCCATTCTGGTGGTGACAAATTTCTTCAGTGTTTGCTGTCTGGAAGGTCTTGGTTTTCCCTTCATTTATGAACTTACTGAGGCAGGAACTCTTGGCTGACATGTTTTCTTTCAGCACTTTTAAAATGCCATCCTATTATTTTCTGACTTGTAAAGTTCTGCTGAAAAGTCTGCTGTTATCTGATGGAGTTTCCTTTATAGGTAATTAGATGTTTCTTTTTCCTTGCTAATTTTACAGTTATTTTATTTTGACTTTAAATATTCTGAATATAATATGATGTGGTGAAGTCTTTCTTTCAGTGCATTTGCCTGGGGATTGCTGGGCTTCCTGTTTCTGTATTTCTAACTCTCCTGATAGATTTGGGAAATTTTCATCAATTATATCCTTAAATATAGTTTCTGAACTTTTAAAAATCTCTCCTCTCTTGGGAATACCAGTAATTCTTAAGTTTGTTCACTTTATGTAGTCTCATCAGCTACATCAGCTACTGGGGGTCTGAGAACATATTGACATACTGGGCCCATTGCTCCCACTACTTATTTCTAATCAAGCCACCTGGAGGCTCAATAAACGGTACCGTAAGTCACTGAGAAAAATCACGGAGACCACTGATCTGTGTACTGCCAAATACAAAGATAACACTACTTAAGGCACACAAAATCAAAGCACCAGGGAACTTGGTGGCCGTGTTCATTCTTCTTTGTTCTTTTTCTCTTATTTTTGTCTGACTCTTTTACTTCGAAAGATCTATTCACATTCTAAGGTTTTTTCTTCTGCTTGTTCGAGTTTATTATTGAGGTGTTCTAATTATTTTGTATTTCCTTTAGTGAATTTTTTAGTTCCAGAATTTGTGGGGTTTCTTTTTCTTCTTCTTTTTTTTTTTTTAGATGTCACCTTGGTATATTTCTTATTCATATCCTGAGTTGATTTTCTGGTTTCTGTGTATTGGTTTTTAGACTTATCCTGTATCTCATTGAACTTTTTTAAAATTAATATTTTGAATTCTTTTTCTTAGTACTTTGAATTATTTATCTGTCATTTTGAGTTTTTTAATTGAGATCTGTTGCTGAGCAGTTTTTTTTGTCATTTGATGGTGTTGTATTTTCCTGCTTTTTCACATTTTCCATGTTCTTCTATTGGTAGCTGTGCATCTGGTATAGTAGTCACTTGTTTCAATTTTTGAAATTGCTTTTGTGGAGAGGGGTTTTTTCCTTGATAATGTATGCATGTCATTGGTTGAGATGCTGTGGCTTTTATTTTGTGTGCCTTAAGTAATGTTATCTTTGTATTTGGCGGTACACAGATCAGTGGTCTCTGTGATTTTTCTCAGTGACTTAGGGTACAGTTTGTTGAGCCTTCAGGTGGCTGATTAGAAATAAGTAGTGGGAGCAATGGGCCCAGTATGTCAATGTGTTCTCAGATCCCCAGTAGCTGATGTAGTGTCAGTGTTGGCAGTAGTAGTGATGCAGCAACCCACTGGTACCCAATGGCCTATATTGATGTTTCTGGAAGCTGCAACGGGTTAGGTAGGCTAGTCCCCAGTCCTCCAGCTGCTATAATGGGTAGAGAATATTGTCCTAGCTGTGCTTAGGAGAGTTTGGTTTCCCCTGTTCCTTCCTCAACTAAGTGGTAGCTGCAGCCATGTCATCTTGAACTGGGCCTGGGGTTGGGAAGAGTCCAGCATTAAACTCTCAAAATGGTACTAGAAAATGTCTACTTTCTAGTCAGCTACTGGTTTGTGACCTGAGAGGGTAGGGCTCCTCTCAGGCGAGCAACATGGATAGGCTTTGGGGACAGCGGTCCTCTTAAGTCTTGGTCTCATAGCAGCCCATAGCAGATGGGTAAGAAGCTGTAGGGATTGTAGACCACTTGTGTCTCAGTCTCACGGCCCATTGCAGAGCAGTGGATATTGTTGTAAACATGTGTAGGATAGCCTAGTCTCCCTGAACCTCTTTGGCTGGGTGGTAGCTATTGCTGCTTCATTGTTAAATTCCTAAAGTGGTGTCTAGAACTTGGAACCAGAGAGGGCATGGTCCCTCCTCGACTAGCAGCATGTGCAAGAAACTGTGGGGAGTGTGGTTTCCTTGTGTCTCAGTCTCACAGCAGCCCGCTGTGGTATTGTCTTAAATATGTGTGGAGTAGCCTGGTCTCCCTATGTTTCCATGGCCAGGCTTCAGCCCAAACTCAGCCTAAGGGCAAGGTGCAGTCTAGCATTAAACTTTCAGGATGGTGCCTTGGGCCTGAGACCAGAGACCCCTCCCAGGCAAGCAGCGTGAGAAAGAAGCTGTGAGGAGTGCAGTTTACTGGCATCTCAGTCTCACGGCAGCCTGTAGCAAGGTGGCACTTACCCTCTGAGGGGCAAATGGGAGGGCCTTGTATCCCCTCTCCCTCCATGGTGTCTAGGAGGGAGAGGGGATACTTCCCCAACATGCTTCCCCACCTGAGACTGCTCCAGACTTGAGTGCCTGTGGGATTCTCTGTGGGTTCCCTTTTCTGGAGCAACTCTCTGTACAGTCTTTAGGCAGCTTCATAATATCAGGCTCATGGCCCTAGTGGGTCAAGGGTTTCTTCTGTTGCTAATATTGTAAAAGCTCATTTTGGAACTCTTGGATTTTCTCTCTTCCTGTTCTTCGTACACAGAGCCTTTCCCGGGTCTCATTTCGTTCCTGGCTGGGCAAAGTACCTTGAACCTCTTCCTACTTCTGTGCTTTCTCTTCTCTGGTGAATCCAAGTGTTCCTTCCTCATGATCTGTTCAAAATGTATCTACTTACCATTCTAGTTCCTCTTTGTGGAGGAGGTACATACTCCTGAATGTCTAGTTAGTCACCTTGTTCCCTAAAACCCTGTTATAGCTTGTCCTTGAGTAGAGGCAGTAACAAAATAGTGGAACAAACATGTGCTTTGAAATTAAACTTGAGCCAGGTGAGGTGGCTCATGCCTGTAATTGCAGCACTTTGGGAGGCAGAAGCAAGAGGATTGCCTGAGCCCAGAAGTTTAAGACTATCCTAGGCAACTTGGTGAGACCTTGTTTCTACAATAAATAAATAAAAAATTGGCTGGCGTGATGGTGCATGCCTGTAGTTCCAGCTACTGGGAAGGCTGAAGTGGAAGGATTACCTGAGGCTAGCAGGTCAAGGCTGCAGTAGCCATGAGTGTGCCACTGCACTCCAGCCTGGGCAACTCTGACTCAAAAAAATAAAATTAAAAAAAAAGAATCACACTGGGGCTTGTCTGATTCCAAGTTGATATCTATTAGCTGTATTTTCTCGATCTTTGGATTCCTTGTCTAAAAACTTGGAAATTAAGATGCTTTCCTCTGGTAGCTATTAGGAGTTTATAGGAAATGACTGAACGCTTGTAACTGGCAGTGTAGGTTCATTCAGTGTTACGTTCTCTTCTTCCCTCCCCTTCTACTCTCACTGAACTACCTTGTCTCTACTATTAAGAGTTTATTTCCTTGTTGAAAGAGAGGCCCTAGAGTAGCTTCTGAAAGGCTTATATTAATGATAATAAAGTTAGAATGCAAAAAATAATTTGAAGAGAGTAGATGCACGGAAAGAAAGTGGCAAATAGGAGGGCAAGAATGAGGTCTGATAAAGTACTCCTACAGACAACACAGTTCTGTGGGTTGGAAAAGAAATGAATTATATCTGCTTACATCATTGCTGCAATTGTAGGTCAGTTATGTACTTTGAGAGGTGGACTTGTTTTTAATTGTTTATTTAAACAGTTAGACAGTGATTTTTTGGCTCATCTGGGTAATGTTGCCTGTGAAACTTTTCCAGGCTTTTTAGTACTTTGCCTTTTGTACTGTCTTAAATTGTCCCCAAGTCAGTCAAGGGGAAGTATGAAGCCATATGAGCAGTAAATTGGGAGATGATGTCTACATACTTCTGAGGCAGTAACGGTTATAATGGCAGAATCATGAGCTCCCTCTCCCACAACTTGGCCCAGTGAACCTCTGAGGAGCTACTTACATTGTTCAATGACAACATGGGACTTTATGACTGTTGTTGATTATTTCATGTGATATAATTCTTCTGTTGCCAGTTTGATACTATAGCAGTGGTAGTTTGGCTACCCTGGTATTGCTCACTTGGAAACTGTATAGTACAGGTTTCTGAGCCTACAGTTTATTGGAGTTCTCCACCTAGGTGTTTTTATTCTGGGGAGGTGTCTTTTAACTTAAGAGGCACTAAAGCCCTTTGATTTCAAGACCTTTTTAACTTATGAATCTTATAATTGGAAAAGAGAAAGAAGACCCTTTAAAATTTTGTTCTAAAATCAAAGCTTATACAGTTATCCCAGTGTAAGCATATTAAATGTTTATGTAGTTTCACTGTCTACCATTATATAATGAATGGGTATTAAAAAAGAGAGCAAAGTGGAAATCTAGAAATTTGGTTTATTTTTCTTGATTTGAATACTGATTTGCTGTGTGATTATGTCGAGTTTATTTTTGGTATAATTTCTAGTGTAGCATAAGGGTTATATCTTTTCCAGAAAGATGATATAGAGAAATATTATATCATGCATAATGGAAAATACAGTCAGGATATTCATATATTGTATCCATTTTGGTTTTAAAAAATGACTAAGAATATTCTTCCAGTGGATTTCAAGTTAACTACCATGGAGTGTTTGTTTTCTTCTGATTACAGATTGTTTTAGGCATATGAACTTTAATTTGAAGGCTTGTTTTTATTATTGAAAAACAGTTTTTAGGGCTCTTAATTATATCTTTTCATGATTATATGATATTTTCATATTTCTTTTAATGTTAAAAATTATATACAAAATATGTATATAATGCTGTGCCTTGTTTTCAGGTCCAATGATGCATCAACAGCCTCCTTCTCAGCAGTACAATATGCCACAGGGAGGCGGGCAGCATTACCAAGGACAGCAGCCACCTATGGGAATGATGGGTCAAGTTAACCAAGGCAATCATATGATGGGTCAGAGACAGATTCCTCCCTATAGACCACCTCAGCAGGGTAAGATTCCCTTTGAAAAATTTCCTACTGAATGTAAACAACAGTAATTAAAAGGCTTTAAATTTTAATGACCTTTCATCTAGGCTAATTCAGGGCTTTTTGTTTCTTTTTTTTTAAATAATAAGATAGTGGATATACTAGGTACAAAGGGTCACAAAGTAGATAGGAACTTGCTGATGATATACAGCTTTTTTTAATCTGTTATTTTCTGGGAAGTGGTTATATCATATAATTGTATATCAGAAGCTCACTGATTCACAGCAGAAAAAACTACTTTGTTTTTGAGAAGGTATTAAATATATGGTCAGGAGTAAACCCAAATTTATTTCAAAGCACTATAGTATCAAAATAAAAAGGAAATTAATTTTCTACCAGTCTAAACCTCTTTTTAATAAATTGATGTTTGTTTTCCCGAGTTGTTTTTGTTTGATATTGTATGTATGGTCTTAACATTGGTTTTTAGTAAATGTCATATGTGGATTTGCTGTGTGTGTTATGTGTGTATATATGAATAGTTAAAAGTATCTGAAATGCCAAAGCATGGGAGGGGAATCTACAGCTGAGAAATAATCTCTTATAACATCAAATTAGAAAGAAAACCTTGATGACATAGAGAACAGATTATTTATATCTTGATTGGTTGTGGTTTTTCAGGCCCACCACAGCAGTACTCAGGCCAGGAAGACTATTATGGGGACCAATACAGTCATGGTGGACAAGGTCCTCCAGAAGGCATGAACCAGCAGTATTACCCTGATGGTAATCTCTCCTAATGTTAACTTTCCCATTTTCTCTCCCTGCCCAATATCAACGTAGAAAGCTATATAAAACATTTTAATGAGGACAGAGAAACTAACAATCTGTTTCTTCTAAATTTAGAAACACTTCAGTACTCTAAAGTACCAATGATGACATTAATTTATAATAGTATTCAAAGTATATTTTGTGTAGCTTTTCTATTAGTACCATCAGGAATCACATTCTGTCATTGGAATCCTTATATAAAAGAGAATCCTTTCATATTTAGGATTGTTCGTGTGAACTAAAGCAAATGTTACAATCAGATTTACTCTTTAAAAAAACAAACAAAAAAACCCCCAAAAAACAGCTTGAGCTATAATTCACATACCATAAAGTTCGCCCATTAATTTACCTTTATGCATTATATAAATACATAGAGATCTTGAACTATTTTTTTCAAGTCTCATAATTTTAGTTAATGTTGCATACTTTTCAGCAGACTATGGTTTACAGCTTGCGTTTGAGAAAAATTTTGGAGACTAAATTTTATCTATAATACAGCTATATAGAGATTTAGTAGAATGGGAAAGGTATATAGAAACCAATTTTTTAAAGTTATTTCATTTAGTGGAGTTTTTTTAGTGGGAAGTTTGTGCAGAAGTGGTCAGTAAAGATGTACAGCACTTTAAGAAAATCTAGTAATAATGTAAACATACAAACAGGTTTTCACTGTACTGTTTTTTCCATTTTTCTGTATGTTTGAAAATTTTATAATACAGTGTTCAGGAAAAAATAATTTGAACATATGTTACAAAATGATTTGTGTTATTATAAAAGAGTTTGCCAAAAGCTTTATTTATATAGTAAGCTCCTTTGGTGTAAATATAAATTACTGAACAGAGACACTAAGAAACTTAAAGCTAAAATATTAGGAGACATTGACTAGAAGCCAGTATAAGCCAGCAAGAAGATATATTTGAAGGTACATTGAAAAATCATCTTGCCTGTCATTTTTCATCAATAAAGCATAAAGGTACATTCGTACTTAAGGTCATTGGTTTTTACTGCAGAGACATGGACTATGCAGGCAGAGAAAATAACCTGTCAAATTTTACATATAGAAACATTTATTAGTGATAGTGATGATATCTGTGGAATATTCTGGTTAGAAAACTGTGTATTTTTTTAATCTCATATTTTCGTGCCCTGAATTATTCAGAATGTTGATTTTTTTCTTTTTTCCTTTATATGCAGACATGGTATTAAGATTTTTTTTTTTTTTTTTTTTTTGAGTTGGAGTCTCACTCTGTCACCTCGAGCTGCTGGGCTCCGGCGATCCTTCGGCCTCAGCCTTCCAAGTAGCTGGAACTACAGGCGTGCACTACCACGCCCGGCTAATTTTTTGATTTATTGTAGATGAGGTCTCGCCAAGTTGCCCAGGCGGATCTCGAACTGGCGGGCTCAGGCAATCCACTCACCTCACCCTCCCAAAGGCGCAGGAATACAGGCTGAGCCACTGAGCCCGGCTGGTATTACAGAAGACTTGATAACAATACATCATTGCCTGAAACATAGATGCCTAGAAGACAATTAGGGCTAAACATGCTTAAGGGGGTTGAAGTAATTACCGGGTCCTAACCCTGGGAGGCCGATTTTACTTCTTGCTAATGATTAAGAGGTGAAAGAATAGATTGGTCAGCAGAAAGGCTCAGCAATACATGACAGGGCTAGGGCTGAGGGAAAATGGCTTCACTACTGCTGGGATTATTTTACCAAGTTCTTCTATTCTAAGATTCTTGGGGTTCTTACTTTTCAATTGGGTTGAACTTTACATTGTTATTTTGGTTCTGAATATTATATAGTAAGGAGCTTACTATATACATAAGCAGAAATGTGAAAGTTGTATTGTTATAAGTATTATCTTCCTATTCATAACAGATAGGTATGTTATTTTGTAAATATCAAAACTTTAAGGTTACTTTAAATAATTCATTTTATTACATTAGTGAATTTTTATTTAAATGGTATCATTTTTACATAGAGGTGTATTAATTTATGTCTGGCATTTACATAAAGTTTTCTATTTATGTCAACAATTATTTTTCTTAAACAGCATTGATATTTATGCCAGTAAATATATAGTTTAGAAGTTGGCAGACTTTTTCTGTAAAGGGCCAGATAATAAATATTTTAGTCTGTGTGGGCCATACGGTCTCAGTTTCAACCACTCAATTCTTGGCATAAAAGTAGCTATAGACAATACTTAAATGAATGGGTGTGACTGTATTCCAATAAAACTTTATAAAAAAACAGACCACTGGCTGCATCAAGACTGCAGGCCATAGTTTGCTAACCCTTGATGTGTATTTATGAAGTGGTTTGGGAACATTTGAGTACTAGAGCATTGAGTGTAACATTTATTTGTAACTATATTCCTACTTCCTTAATTATGCATTTTTGTAAAACTTAGTTAAATGTTAGCTAACTGAAAGATTATTTGATTCATTTTCTTAGTGAGACTTGGTTGAAAGGGTCAGGATATTATTTTTCATTAAAGTTTAGTTATCTTGCAGGTAAAACTGAACTGTGCCTTAAAACTAAAGCTATACTCTGACACTCAGCACAATATTAATTTTATGAAGTTGTATGTTTATGATACTTAAACTATTTTCTAAAGATTTCTAAAGTGGCAGCATTAAGATATGTTTGCATCTGAAGATACTTTGAAATACATAGACTTTATGCAAGTAAATGTTAGAATGTGCAAATTTTTCAGTTTCTTTCAGAGGAAAAAACTTATGGAGCTCTTTTATATTTTGCATTGTTTTTAGCAAATGCTGTGGAATTGGAGACCAGCAGAACAGGTGTTTGACAAAATATGATAACTGCCTTTTTTGTTTACTCTAATTTAATTCAGGTTATTTACATGTGAAAGACCTAAATGCTTTTATTCTCTTTTTTAAAATGGAAGATAAAGGTTTTCTCCCCTCAATGAGGATGATGAGATTTGAGACAATAAGTGTAATGTTCCTAGAACTACTGCCTTTTGCTTTAAAGAAATTTGCACGTTATCTCAATATGAAAACAGTCACATTGGTAAATCTTTGGCTAATGCAATTGAAATAATTTTTTTATGTATTTCCATTTCTTTTTCTTTTTTTCAGTTTTATCTGAAAGTTTAAATATTTTTAGGGTTTTCACTCAGTGGCCATTAACGTTTCTTCCTGTCTCTTGTCGAATTGATGTAGGTCATAATGATTACGGTTATCAGCAACCGTCGTATCCTGAACAAGGCTACGATAGGCCTTATGAGGATTCCTCACAACATTACTACGAAGGAGGTATCTATATACCTTCACACACATACACATATATATCCCCTTCTACAGGAATGAACATTCTTGCATAAGACAACTTCTCCCCATGCAAAGCTCTTATAGAATACTAGTTGCTGGCTGTCTTGAAAGTAACAGGGAGCCCTGAAAAATCAAAATAATTTCCTTACAAATACTTAGAATGTATAACCATGACTTGCCATTTCTAACAACAATAAAAAGACTAAAACATTTAAAGATAATTTTTTCCTCAGTGGAAGTTTTATATTTGAACATAAATTCATCAGTTCAATTTTTTTTCTTGTGTGTGTTTACATATGTATAATTTTACATATAAGTATAGTGCCTTTAGGAAACAGCTTGCTGATCTTGTGTAGCTAGTGTGTGCTCTTGTAGCTGTCTTTAATTTTGTCTTTTTTATTTTATTTAGCATAGTCATGATCTTATGACTGTGATGTTCCAGTAAATGTAATGCTCGTATGGCAGAGACGCTGAAAATGCTGCAGTTCAACCTTGCAAAATTGGCTTTAACTGCAGTTTGTTTGGCCGAAATCCTTCTGTTTGGTTTGAGTTTTTTCTTTGTTCTGTTAACTTTTAAAAATCAGTATGGCATTTCATTTCGTTCTTGTGTTGTTGGCTATGCATCTTAGAGGGAAAAAAGTTAATTAAGCAAACTTCTCAGTGTTTTTTTTCCTTCTTCTTCAATTATCCTCTAGGAAATTCACAATATGGCCAACAGCAAGATGCATACCAAGGACCACCTCCACAACAGGGATATCCACCCCAGCAGCAGCAGTACCCAGGGCAGCAGGGTTATCCGGGACAGCAACAGGGCTACGGTAATAGCTTATTACAGTTTATCACCAAAACATGTCATGATTGCTCTTTTGAAATATGGAAGTAGATATTTAATCTTTGGCTTCCAAGAATTATCACTTTTGAAAATTCAGTTTTAGCCCAGTCTACTGTTAGAATGTTTATTTAAAATGTTGCTCTTAGATAAACTAGTTATCCCTTTAAAAAGAACCACAAACTAGAGATGGATTATTGACCAAAGGTGAGGAATGGAGTCTTTTAAAAGGCAAGAAAAATGAATTCTCAGACCTATTTGACATTCATGACTAGCCAGTAGCTTTGTATGTGCTTGGAAAACTGATGATTGGGTAATTATTAACCCTATGTAAATAATCTGCCTAGCAAATTTATTTCTAAAAACAAATGACTATAACTATAAAAAACAACTTTTTTTAGTACAAATGAAAGGATCTATTCATAATTCATAAAGAAAATGTTTTTGCCATTCTCTAGTTAAATACAGTATACATATCCATGGGGATGGATTTATTGCAGCAGTGTATTATACAGAATTTTGAGGAAGTGTAGCCATATTTTCCTATTATATACTCACAATACCTATTACCTGGATATCTGACTTTAAGGTTATTTATTTATTAGATAGGGAGTGGGAAATGATGAAGACCTGATATTTCAGTCTTAAATTTCAGGCTACTATAACCATTTTAGATATAGTTCTAATGACAGAGAAGTAGCTTCTTATTAATACTAACTCCATCTCGTGCTAATATGGTCTCTTTTTTACATCAGTAATGTTTCTTATTTTCAGTCATTGATTTAAGCTCTGCTACTACTATGAGCATCTCTGTCTACCTATGGTAGCAAATCTAAGAACCAAGGTCAGGTCGACAGTCTCTTGCCCTCTCAACGTATACATTAAAACCCAGTCAGATACTGGGAATCAGGTATTTTCTTTAAAAAGTTAAAATCTGGTTTCCTAATTCTAGATAAAACTAGAAATATACTTCATTTCACAAGTGGACTTTCTTGGCCTTTCTAAGTGGCATTTCCATTTCATGACTATTTAGTATTTGTACTCTGAGTAAATAGAATATTCTGGTTTTAATTGCATTTCCTGAAAACAAATATGATGCTGTTAAATTGGGTAGATTCATTGACTTAAGAGAAATACTATTTTCAGGGGGGAAGAGAGAGTGAAAGAAAGTTTTTTGGTTTTTTGTTTTTGAGTTGGAGTCTTACTCTGTCGCCCAGATTGGAGTGCAGTAGCCGCTCCCGGCCACCGCAGCCCCAAGCTGCTGGACTCCGGCGATCCTTCCCCCTCAGCCTTCCAAGTAGCTGGAGCTACAGGCATGCGCTACCATGCCTGGCTAATTTTTTGATTTATTGTGGAGATGAGGTCTCACCAAGTTGCCCAGGCGGGTCTCGAACCCGCGGGCTCAGGCAATCCACTCACCTCAGCCTCCCAAGGCGCAGGATTACAGGCTGAACCACTGAGCCCAGCTGAAAGAAAGTTTAACTAATTTTTGGTTAAAGTAGCTAAATCATGTTTTGTCAGACATTGAGGAATTCTGAAGGAGAAATTCTCATTTTGTTTATCCATAGGCTTCAGTTGTTAAACTTCCTTCAAATAGAAAATCTAGAGTTTCTATAATTGCATGTATAATAATTAAGTAATAGACCGATGAAATTTATTTAAGCTTGAAAATTTATTGTTCTGTTAACACTTTGCTCTGCAATCAGTGTTTTTATGGCAGGTTTTGAATGGCTATAGTAGAGAACATTTAAATGTCAAAGCTTTTCAGCTTATGCTTTTTGAAGTATTCTTTACAAGAGACAGTAGGAGAGTTTATAAAGACTTACTTGTTTAGCAAACCAAATCAGTCCCTTGCCATCTCTGGACTTTGAAATCTTTTTTATGGGTGAAATGTTAGATTGTTTCTCAGAGTGTAACTTTTGAATTAAGTTTTTTCACATGCAACCTGTGACTTTTCAAGTCTTTAGTTTCTGCTTTAAAATATTGTGGTAGTAAATTTGTCAGTGCAGATTCTAGCCATATGATTGTTTTGGTGATTACAAATGTCAGTCTAGAGTCATACAGTTGTAAATATCATTGATTCCTATATTTTATTCAGAAATTATTTACGTATTTTTCTTTGATCCTACCTTTTGCTTTTTCTTTTGCCTCTTGCAGTGGTTAACTCTCCAATAGACATAATGTTTAATTTTAAAAATCATATTGGTGTTAATCTGCTTTACAACTTCCTGAGTCTTTTTTTTAACCTATTTTGACATACAAATTTTGTGATGACTGGGGCATAGCACAGTAGTTACAATGAAGTAGCATTACAATATTTTCACTCTTATAAGCATTGAAATTTATTTCAGAAAGCATTTGAGAAAATCAAGGTTCCAAACCTTCTTTTAGTTTTGATATAAAAATGTAGTAATATCTAATCTTGTTTTAAATCATTTTCCAAGATCTAGGGACTTACTGTATTTTTAAGTGGACTTTTGTTTGTGTTATTTATATTTTAGGTCCTTCTCAGGGTGGTCCAGGTCCTCAGTATCCTAACTACCCACAGGGACAAGGTCAACAGTATGGAGGATATAGACCTACACAGCCTGGACCACCACAGCCACCCCAGCAGAGGCCTTATGGATATGACCAGGTAAGTTATTTGACCAGCTGTGGGATTGCCACATTGTTTGTTCACTCTTGATTAGGTGAACTATTCTTTTTCTTTTTTTTTTTTAACTTGAAACCTCATTTTTCCCTCTTCTTGTTCCTGGTACATTTGTTAGCAAAAAGTATATTACTTTTAATCACAGTGAAATCTTGCTGTGAAAAAGGAAAAAAGGGTATATGACTTTTAAGTCTCTTTCGTAGAATGCTAGCACAGTTGATCATAGTTGCTGTATCATATAAAACATGCCTTAAGACACCAGCATATTCTCTCTCTCTCTCTCTCTCTCTGTGTGTGTTCTTTACTCTTGGGCATACTTTGATAAAATATGCATATCCAGCTTACCATCTTTACCATTCTTAGGTACTCAACTTGATGGTAATAAATACATTTATATTCTTTTCTTTTTCTTCCTGCCCTCTCCTCATTTCCCAGCCTTAGTATTTCTCTTATCTTCCCTCATGTTTATTGCTGAAGACTTTGCCTCGACCTACTAAAATGTGGAGTGCATCTGTGTCAATGCTTTTATTAGCTCTCCATGTCAACAAATACACCACACTTTCTTCTTCACACTCATAATATTCCATCTCTTTAAATTCAAACTTTCTATTCTCTGTTGCCACCTTCTACGTACATACCCATTCTCTCAAGTGTTATATCTCCCCTATTTTTCCTAGTACCTTCAAATATGTAGAAGTGTATCTCAGACTATCGAAAATAGGTTATTTTTATATGGAGTTATCTTTAATATGCAATTTAGAGTTCCAGGGCCAGTATAGATGATGTGACTTGAGGAACAACTCAGATGCTGTGGTCACTAGAATTCAAAGAAAGAGCATTTCTTTTATCAACCCCCTCTCAAGCCTACAGCCCCCTCGTATTGGTGCTTCTTATTTAAGACAAAGGACGTACAATAGACTTAAACTAAAAGGGTAAGGACAGATGGGTAGTATTTTTAAAAACTATACTAGAACAAAATCAGAGGATCAGTCAGAAGTTCTAAAAAGTTTTGGAAGTAAAATAAGACTTGGCTAGTGAGTATTTAAAGGCAGAATTCCTGAGCAGACAAAAATTAGGTTCGTTCTTATCCATGAGTGAACTTGTAAGAGTGAGAGTCTGGTTATGTATCTCCTCATTCAGCAAATATATATTGGTTCTCCACGTGTGTTTGGTACTGTAGCAGGTGTTAGAGAGAGGTAAAACAGTCCTGGTCCCTATGGCTTATAACCACCTATCTTTTCTTCCTTGACCTCACTTTAGTATTTGGCACGTGTTCCTTTTTCATTTTTATATGATCTTCTTTAGCTTCTATATTGTTGATTCATTCTTTTTTTTTTTTTCTGGTTTTTCTTCTTTTACTCAAATATCAATCCTTGACCCTGTATTTTCTTAGTCTCTGAATCATTCTGCCTCATATTTTAAGTATCCCTATTGCTTACGTCTCAACCCAACTTCAGCTCTTTTTTTTTAACTGTACAGAACACTTCTCTCTTTGGATATCTTGCCATTTCCTCAACTTTAGCATGATATGGACTAAACTGACCATTTTTCTTTCTAAGTCAACATATTCTAAATCTCCTAAACTTCAAACAATTCATTAAGAAAATGTTTATTAAGCAACAATTATATACTAAGTGCCATGCTAAAAATGGAGATATATTGGGAAATAAGATGGACATGGACTCTGCCTTTGTGAATGTAAGTCTAGATGGGATACAGCCGTAAATGTATGATCAATATAGTGTGATAAGTACTTGGATGAGGAAAGAAAAGATTTATGTGAAAGGAGTTTCTAACCCAAATATTGAGAAAATGTTCCTTGGAAAGTTTTATATTAGAGGGACAAACCATATTAGGGGACTTAGGTTTTATCTTTGAAGAAGCCTTGAAAGGTTTCAAGCAATGTTTATAAAGTATCTAGGAGTGGCTGGCACTTGGTAGCTTTGATAGATGTGTAATTTACTCCTGTTTTTATCATTATGATTATTCCACTCTAAAGTTCTCGAATTGGAGACTGTGCTGTGGATAAAGACCCATGGTGTTTGGTAGTTGCCTGTCACCCCTGCCCTGATAGAAAAGAATATGAGGAGTAGGCTATTTTAGCTACTCTAGTGTCCATAGTCTCTTCACATTGATCTGATGTTTAACCTTATCTTTATCCCCTACCCAAGCACCTTATCTCTTTATTTTAGGAAAAGTAGTTCATTTACTTCTTGAAGATGGTTATGGCGTTGGAAAACCGATGCAGATTCTTAAACCCAGCAGTAATATAATTATAATGGTAGTTTAGGCAGATTAATCTTGTAGCACTGTGCAGGATAAACTAAAAGGGAGAAACAGAGAAAAAGCTTTGTTAGGATGCTTCTCCATCAGTCTTTTCTGTCTCAGTAAGCAGCAGCTCGATTCTTCCATTCCTCAGGCTAAAAACCTGGAGTCATCTTTGATTCCCCTTTGCAAATCAAACATTCAGTTAATCAGCAATTCTAATCACTTCTTTCTTCAAAATATATTCAGTGTTTAGCCATTTTTTTAGTCTCCTCTCACTCAAATCAAAGTTGCAATTACTACTCATCTGGACTGTTTCGATATCTTGCTCTTTGGTTTTCCTGATTTTATCCTGGCACTTCTACATTATATTCTCCTCAAAGAACCCAGAGTAATGTTTTAAAGACATTAGTTATATTATGCCACCTCTTTGCTCAAGCCCTGCAGTGACTTCAGTTTCACTAAGAGTTAAAGTGATACCTTAGAATGGCCTACAAGGCTTACAATTGACTTATGTTCCACCTCCTAACCCATCCCCTATCTCTGTATTTATACCCCAACCACTTGCTGCCTTCATTTCTGCTTTATTGGCCTATTTGTGTTTCCTTATACACATCAAGCAAGTTTCTACCTCAGGACCTTTGTATTTCCTGTTCTCTCTTCTGCCTGAAACTCTTCCTCTGATGCTTGCAGTGCTTTCTACTTCCCTTTATTCAAGTCTCTGCTTAGATGTCACTGTTTCATATCAGAGTCCTTCACTGACCACCTACCTGAAAAATTAATATCCTCCATTGCAAAGCTCTTTTTTCCTACCTTTCTTTATATTTTTTGAACAGCTTTATCGAAGTATAATTTACATAATAAACAGCACATAATAGAAGTGTACAATCTGTCATATTTTGATTTGTATTGTGTATATACCCATGACGCCATCATTAAAATTAAAATGATGAAGTATCTATCATGTCCAGAAGTTTTCCCTGTACCTCTTTGAAATCCTCCTCCTCCTCACTGTCTCTCCTCCCCGACAACTACTGGTCTGCTTTCTGTGATTATAGATTAGTTTACATTTTCCAGATTTTATATAAATGGAATCATATGATATCTTCTTGTTTTTTATTTAGCTTAGCATAATAGTTTTGATATTTATGTTGTGTATATCAGTAATTAATTCTTTATTACTAAGTAGTGCTCCATTATGTGGCTATGCCATACTTGTTTATTCATTAATCTACAGATGGACATTTGGGTTTCTAGTTTGGAACTCTTACATATAAAATACTATGAACATTCAAGTACTAGTACCTGTGGACATATGCTTTCATTTTTTTTCTTGGACTGGTTAGATCATATGACAGGTGTGTATATATGTGTGTGTGTGTATTTTTTTTTTTTTGGTAGAGTTAGAGGTCTCACTATGTTGCCTAGGCTGGTCTTGATCCTAGGATAAGCAATACTCCCACTTTGGTCTTCCAAAGTGTTGGGATTGCAGGCATGAGCCACTATGCCCAGTCTGATAGTTAACTTAAGAAACTGACAAACTGTTTTTCAAAGTAGTTGTACCATTTTATATTGCTACCAGCAGTGTATGGGAGTTCTAATACTAACATATCTTTGTCAACTCCTTGGCAACACTTGGTATGAATCAGTCTTTTAAATCTTAGCTATTCTAATAGGTGTGTTATGACACCTCGTGATTTTTAATTTGTGTATTATCAAAGACTAATGATGTTGACTGTTTTCTTATGCTTATTTGCCATCTACAAGAGGGTACCCCAAAAAACCCAGAATTTCTGTATAAAAAATTGTGTTATTACACGCTTAAACTTTAGTTACCTTCAAAGTACTCTCCATTTGATGTAATACACCTATTAAGACGCTTTTTCCACTGCTCAAAACAATTTTGGAATACACCGATTTTGATGCCTTTTAACTTCTGCAAAACATTTGCTTTTAAGGACTTTTTTTCATTTGGAGAGACAAAGAACAGTCCACTGAGGACTAGATTGGGTGAATAGGGAGGAATATGTCATGCTATTTTTGGTCAAAAACTGCTAATCACTCAGTGCCATCTGGGCAGGTGTGTTGTTACGGTGGAAGAACCAGTCACCTGTTAGTCACAACTCGGGACATTTCTTGCACGTTCATGACACAACCTTCTCAAAACTTCTAGATGAAAACTTTGATTGACTGATTTGATCCAGAGGAACAAATTCTGAGTGCACTACCAGGGACCCACCCTCCAAAAGATTTGCTTATTCCCCTTCGTATGCTTATTCTTTTCTGAAGTATATAAATCTCTTGTTCATTTTAAAATTGAGTTCTTTATCTTACTAGTGACCATTAAGAGGTCTTTATATATTCTAGATATATTGCAATTTTTTATCTGGTATGATTTGCATATATTGGCCTCCAGTTTATGTTTTAATTCTCTTAATAGTGTTTTTCATTCTCTTAATAGTTCTCTTCCCTTCAAAGAGAGAAAATTTTAAATTTTAATGAAGTTTAGTTTATGAATTCTTTCTCTTATGGATCATACTTTTGGTGTAATATATAAGAAATCTTTACCTAACTGAAGGTCACAAAGATTTTCTCCTATGCTTTCTACTAGGAGTTTTATAGTTTTAGATTTTACATTCAAGTCCATGATTCATTATGAGTTAACTTTTGTATGTGGTGTATAGTATACATTGAAGTTGCATGGCTTTTTTTTTTCTTCTTTTGAATACAGGCTAATTTTCTCAAGACAGTTGAAAATACTGTCTTTACTG